TTTTATGTTTTCTTTTGCAATGATTTTTTAAAAAAAACTGTTTTTAGAAATCAAGCATCTCAAATAGTTGGGATTGTTGAATCAATCGTACTTTGCGTGCAACTTGAAAGATCGGGGGTGAATACCGAAAAAGTAAAAGTAACATGAATGCATGCTTGCGAGTCGTTCAATGAATGACAGTGTTTGAATGTCGAAGAGAAAGGTTGGAAGCATTACAATGAAATAAGGTTCAGGAAATCATTAAGCTGTTTAGGAAATTATTAAACAATAATTGAATTAGTTTTGAAGGCAAAAATATGGTGCATTATCTAATCACTCAAAGAGTGTATTGTTTTAATTGGAGTGCCTTCTTTTTTTTTTTTCTTCTTTTTTTTCGTTATCTATTTATGTGAAATGTTACTTGTGAGTTACGTATTTGTTTCATTCTTAATTTTGAAAAGTGCATGGGTGTTACTTTTAAACATGTCAATGTGTTTGTTTGACCAAGCAAACTCAAACACATGTTTGAAATGTCCGTTGACATGTGATGATCAATTCACCAAAGTCGTGGAATTAAATCTGTGTTAAAATATAATTTCAACTGAACTCACCTGGAGACCGAGTTTGGAGGAGTCGTACTGCTCTCGCTCGCTTATCCGGTAACAGACGACAAAGCCAGTGATGCGGCTGTCGTTGGAGGCGAACGACCAGTCCACATTGACGGCGTGGCCCTCGTTGGTGAGCGAAATGTTGAGATGGGTGAATGTCCGGTTGTCCAGCACGTGTTGTGCCGCAAACGAGTGCACCCGGCCGAGGTTACCCGCCACGGCACCGCCCAGCTCCCGTCCATCAGCCTCCTTCTCCCTCTCCCCTCCTTTCACGTTTTTGTCGTCTTCAACATCCTTTCGAGCTCGCTGTACGTCTTTTTCTTCTTGCTGTGTCTGTGTCGGGTTCATTTTACCAGGGTCTTGTTCACCTTCCTTGGTTTGAGATGGTGGTGGAGCATCGGTTTCGCTTTGGATTTTCTGAATTACTGTCGAAGCTCCTTTGTGGCTTTTGTCGTGGAGGGTTTGTGCCCCTGAGCGCTGGGGTTTGACCGGTTTGTCGTAACCAGTAGTCTGATGCGGTCCGTCTGCTGGGGTCTCCCTGTCCGGGTCGATCGTCTCGTTGGTGTCTTTGTCGCTGGTCGCCGAGTCTTGGCCTGGTGAAGGTTGCAAGTCTCGGCCTGGCTTTGTTTTCGCCTCCTGTGGGATCTGGTCGTCCGTCAGTGTTCCGGCGTCAGCCGGTTTGGCCAGCTGGGGAATGGTGTTCTTCCCCGGGCGAGTCACGGGGGGCTGAGCCGGCCTTTGAGGCACGTTGTTGTCGTGATCTTCTTGTGCGGGGTCTACTGTCCGTGGCCTTGCGCTCGCAGTGGGATTTTCCTTGGTAGCAGATTTGTCCCCGTTGTTCTCAGTATGACCGCCAGTGACCCCGTGCGTATCAATTTGCTCGTCACCCGAGCTTCCAGCTCTTGTCTGATGTTTGATATTATCATGGTGTGAGGGTGTCCGGTTGTCATCTTCGTTGACTGTCTCGTTGTCCGATGTGTTCGTGGCAGTGTGAGAGTCTCCGACATTTTTGCCGGCTCCAACGTCGCGGTTGTCGTCTTTGCTGGTGAGTTGCGGGGGCTGAATGGTGCCTGATGCAGCAAGTGTGCCTCTGACAACCAACAGGAGGAACAGAACCAGGAGGAGTCGTCGCTGAGAGCGTTTTGTGCCCCCCGTCATTGTGAATCTGTAAGGCAAAAGAAAAGAACAGAAAACCCATTAAGCCCTCTCCAAAAAAGCCCCCACCCCCCAAAAAAACACACAAAAAACCCAAAAACAAAACAAAACAACAACAACAACAAAAAAACCCAACCAAACCAAACAAAAACCAAACAAAAACAAAACCAAGTTCCTCCCGAAACAAACCCCCCCCCTCCCATCCCCCCCCACCCCATCCGTCGCCGAAAAAAGGGAACAAACATGATTCTTGAACACGACTTCTCACAACGGCTGAGATCTTCTAACAATATGATTATTCATATAATATATTTGTCATTAAGGTTGTCATTAACATTAGAGGGTTTTAGAATCGCGGCAGAGATTGTTTGTTATGTTTCATTTTGTGCGTCAGTCTGAGCGTCTTGGTCCACTGTCAGGAGCCATGGGAAGATTTGGTTTCACATTAGCCACTCTGGGCGGATGCTCTGCTGTGGTTTGCTTCTTCTTTCCTATCAAACATCGTCCTTATCTCCCTCCTTCTTTTTTACGTTTGTTACTCTCTTGTAACACCTCTATTCTTCGGCACTCATATGACCTTATGCAGTTGCGAGAGCCGTAAAACCTCTGCTAAAAAAAAAAAAAAAAAAAGCCCCTTTCATATTTTTCTTTTTTAACGCGGCTAAACTAGCTTATCCTCTTAAGGTTAGGTTTATGATAACAGTAGTAGGTCTGTTGAAGTGGGTGGTTGGCGGGTGCTCTGGTGTGGTTTGCTCCTGCTTTCCTATCAAACATCTATCATCTTTATCTCCCCTCCTTCTTTTTTGTGTTTGTTACTCTCTTGTAACACCTCTAATCTTCGGCACTTATATAACCTTATTGTGTTGCAAGTGCCGTAAAGTTCTTACTAAACTAAACTAAAGGTCTGTTGAACGCACAGGAGAATAAATGTGAAAAATTAATTTCGATGACTTAAAAAGAAAGTAGTCTTGTGTCTTCCCGGGAGCTGTTCCCTCTTCCAATGTTAGACAACCCATTGTTTGGTGAACAGGGGAGGCAACATCGTTCGCTATTTCCCATGTGTCCTCCCGACCATTTCCTAGTGGTATGTAGCCAATGTTTTGCTGATTCATTGTGCGCTTCCTCCAAAGGTCAGGGTCCTCCGAGCGGGACACTGTTCTCTCCATTGGAACCAAGCCAAGAGGGCGGAGATTTTCTTTCTTTTTGTTTTTTTATTTGTTTTTTCTAGTGTTTCATTTATTCGTTTGTGGGTGGTTGGCGGATGCTCTGGTGTGGTTTGCTTCTTCTTTCCTTTCAAACGCCTATCATCTTTATCTCCCCTTCCTTCTTTTTTTGGGTGTTTGTTACTTTCTTGTAACACCTCTAATCTTCGACACTTATGTGACCTTATTGTGTTGCAAGTGCTGTAAAACTCTTACTAAAACTAAATATATTAATTTATTCACGTAGCCTTCTCGGATAAGCGCGGAAAATCTCGGAGGTCCGCTTGTAAATTGCGCTCGTTAAAGATCCATTGGTGGTCCAAAACCGATAAGAGTAGGCTTCGACCGCCATCTGAGCAAAATTCAAAATTTCCTACCAACGGAAAATGTTTAATGTGTCCCGCGCGCTCATATGACCTTTTGCAGTTGCGTGCGTCGTAAAGCACTGTTTCAAATTTAAAAAAACCCCCAAAAAATCATTTATTTCGGAAAAAAAGAGATGACAATCACAGCAAAACGGTCATTCCTGAACGGGCTGAACTATTGGATTTGACAGAAAATGAACCCTTGTTTCGCTTTTAGGCTGTCTTCAGCTCATTTGGTACGCTTTTAGCCGCAATGGCCGTGACCTTGAGGTGAGTCATCAACGGAGATGTATTTTCCAAGTCCACCAATCGCTTGGCTCGGTCTTATCAGTGATGATCATTGATTATCTACTGCGCCACTCTTAAAGAATGGATGGTTGGCGGGTGGTGTGTCGTGGTTTGCTCCTTCCTTCCTACCACTATCAAACATCTATCGCTCTTATCCCC